TGTACTCCAGCCTGGGCAACAGAGTGACACTCTGTCTTAAACAAACAAACAAACAAAAAATGTGCAATATAAATAAGAAGGCATTCACATTAACTTAGAGACATTTTGTTTCTTTTCATTTTGTTTTTTATCATGGACCATGAGGGTAGCTTTTTAAGAAAAAGAACTAGGCTTCTCAGTCTTAGTTTATATATCTGAGAGAGAAAAAAGGAATATCTTTTACATCAATATCATTATGTAACGAAACTAAAAAGTAATAACAATAGCAGTGTGTAGAAATATACAAATCACAGTGTCAGAGTGATAGTCTTGGGTGGTAGAACATAAGTAATCTCTATTTTCTGCTTTCTCTACAATGAATATGTATTCTTTATGTAATAAAAATTAAGATAATGATTCCCTACTTCACAGCATACCCAGAAATCGATTCCAGATGGATTGCAGATTTATATGTGAAAGAAAAAGCAATAGAGCTTTTAAGGAAATGTAAGATAACATATGGGCCTTGGGAATAGGTAAAAATTTATTTAGAAAGATTCAAAACTGTCAACCAAAAATGATAAACTGGATTACAGCAAAATTAAGAACCTCTGTGCATCCAAAAGATATCATTTGGAGAGACAGAAGTATGCTGGAGAAATTATTTGTAATTATATAAAATGGCCAAGAACTTGTTTCTAAATAGAGAAACAAAGGAAAAAATAAGACATGGGATTTCTAAAGCAAAAATAATACATGGGATTATAAGAAAATTAAGAACTATTTAAGTCACTATCAGGAGAGTGAAAAGTGTGGGAGACACATTTATCTAACAAAGATTTGTATCCAGAACATATTAGTAAAGGCTACTCTACATTAAATAAAAGACAACCAAACAATAAATATAGTCAAAAGACTAAAAGACATTTCACAAACAGGATATAAAAATGCAAATAAACACTGGAAATTTTACTCAAAATCATTAATCAAGATAATGCAAATAAAAAAGCACATACTTACAGGCTGAATAAGTTTAAAAGATGGATAATATCAAATGGTGGCAACGACATGGTGCAACTGGAGCTCTCAGACACTGCTGAGTGGGGATGCAAATTGCTACAACCACAGTTTTTAGGTTTAGCTCAAACCTAAAAACTACCCAAAAGCCAATCATCAGTCAAAAAGATCAACAAATTATGGTATATGTGCACAATGGAATACTAGACAGAAGGAAAATGTAAAATCTGCAGTTACATGCAACAATATAAATGAATTCACAAAGAAACTGTTTAGAGAGAGACCCAGACTCCCAAAAAAGGATATATATTACATGATTCCATATCTATACAATATGCAAGAACAGAAAAAAATACTCTATGTCATTAGAAGTCCAGGTACTGGCTAACCCTTGGGATGCAAAGAATAGAGATTAGAGTGAAGTTGAGAGATTTTCTAAGGTGGTAGAAGCATTGTTTCTTGATCTGGATTTTAGTTGTACAGGTGGGTTGTTTTGTGAAAGTTTATACATCTACACTCCTACGTTCATTTTTCTTTGTGTGGGTATGTAATACTGTATTTTTATTTAATATGTTAATATTGAAAACACTTTTTTTTACTATATGGGAAAAGCTTAAAAGAACCTCAGGTAATTGAACATTAAAATAATCTTTGAGGGTAAATATTTATTTCCAGACACAATTTAAAACAAATTTGGAGCCTATAACTAGACTCTCACAAGCCAAGAATATCAGGAAAATTCTGACAAAAATATTATCTGTTGCTATTTATGAGTCACTTAATAATGTATTCAATTTTTCTTTATATTTCCTCCAAAGAACATATTTGCATTTAATTAAAATACATTGTCAACCATATGGCACTTAACTCATGAGTTAAAAAATAAAGAAAGAAAAATAAAGAAAAATGGAAATTAATAACTTTCCCTTGATTTTGAGGGATTCATGAATGATTCATTAGTTTTCTTTTGAAATATGCAGTGCTGCTAAGTTTACTCAAGAGAATGTAGACTCCTGATGAGTCTAATCATCATTTTCTATTTTATTTGAAACTTCTTGACCTTTTATACCATTTTGCATATTAAGGTCTATATCCTGTTGTACAGTATTATAGGATTATTTAGTAGAAGTATTTTTTCTGACACAATGGATTCACACAAAATACATCAATTGACTTCTATATAGAGTAATGTTTCTAGTCCAGGAAAAATGAAATATAAGTGGAACAGTCAACTGCTTTAAAGGAAATATGTTTTTCTAAACAATTATACCATTGCTTCTGCTTAAATGGTCATTATATTGGAATTGTACAAAGCATAATGAACTGATGTGTCTTGCTCCTGAAAATTGGTCTTTTGGCAAAATGTTCTGGAAAATAAGTTCTTGATATCTATGGTTTAAGGGTCATATAAGTAAAGTGCTTCCTTCTATACAAAGTATTCAAGTAGTATATTCTGCATTTCAATTTGCTAATGAGACAAAATTTTAGCAGTCTGTTAGCGATAGAAAAGGTTAAAAGAATTATTACCACTAAGATTTTTTTTAATTCTACACTAAGGCAAAGATATATTGTATTGAGGAAAAGCAAAAATAATTGTATTTTAAGGAAGTGTTAAACAAAAAATCAACATTATGTGGCACTTAACCAGTAGAGGTTTTTGCCAGGAAAGAAAAAAAATGGCAGAAGATTAGAGAGAACACAGGAGCCAGTCTTGGAGTTTGCCCCACTGACCTGACTGAATGACAAATAAGGTGAACCACCACCAGCACAGGGAGAAAAATAGGCAAGGAGACTTTAGCAAGCCGATGAAGGAAGGCAAGGCATTGTTCCAAGGATAGAAGAAGAAAGGAGCTGCTCTCTCCCTATCCAGTTTAACTTACAAAACTCTGGAAGCAATGGGAGGAGCTAAAACTACAACTCTGTTCTAGTTGGGGAGGTGCCTGGAAATCCATCAGGCTAACATGATAATGATTGAATGGTTTCAATATAAGACTCTCTAATATGTTTGCAAAGAGCAAAGTAAATGCCTGCACTAAGGAGCAGGGATTTGCTGACTCTGAGCAAAAATTCATACAGGCTTTTTCATTCCAGTATACTTCACCATATTTTTTCCAAAATAATAACTATTTATAACCAATACGGCCTAGTAAGAGTGATGCTCAAGACATTGTCACACCAAAGAACATGTATGTCAAACCTCTTCTCCTTTTAAGGTCTCTGTTCTCTTACCTGTAAAATGAGAAGATTGAACTGGGTAATTTCTGTGACCATTTACACACCCAACATTTTATTTTTCTATAATTTTATGATTTAGAATAAAGTATAAAATATACAAGACCACCTGGGAAGGGAAGAGGTTGCAGGCTAAAGAAGGACAATATGAATATTGAATCTTCATTATGAAGGGAGGGTAGCAAAAAATAGATGTTGCCCTTTGGGATATAGCAGCTTCAAGAAATACCTTGTTCCTTGATGAGACAAAGTAAGGTGGAAATAAAAAGCTGAAATCAATATTTTGGTGTCCAAAAGAGGCCTACTAAGCTCAAATGAATTACATGTACTCAATAAAGCTTTACAAACAGCTTAGAGAGAAAAGGGTGCATTACATGGTTTCTTTTGAGAAATTTTGTAGATTATGCACACTGACTTCTTTTGTTCCAACATTTTACACTGTACACATATATAGAGACTTAAGTATTAAGGTCATTTAAAAAACTGAAATGAACTTATCGAAGTGCAGGGTTCCTATTACTGAATATTCTCACCCACACAAATTGAGACCAAAATTGTATTTTATGTCAAGGAATGTACTTTTTACAGAAAATTAAAATAAGATAAATTCCAATAAATAAATTGAGATAAATAAATTCAAATTCACAGGAATTACTTTGAAAATACATCAGCCAAAGGGATGCCTTACATAGTATTTCTTTACTTTCATGGTTTTTGTTTGTTTTTAAACAAACATCACATTTTATTTAGATTGAAATAAACTATACAAAATAGATTTTCTTCACCAAAAATAACAGCAATATTTTCCATATTTTTCTAGATAAACCTCAACACTTATTTTTGTAGGTTTTCCACGTTTTGATTATAAATCAAGATGAGGCAGTAGATAAGAGTCATGGAAAAAGACAGAAAAAAAAAAAAAAAAACCAGACAAATCAGTTGTCAGTATCCATGGCCTCCGATTCTGTCTTCAGCTTGAAATACAAGTGTTCAACATATAACTGCTAAAAAGCTTAGGAATATGTAGGCTCCACAAAGGAATGTAAACAGCAACAATGAGATGTGGAAAAACAACAGGCTCTTCCATTCAAACTTTAACTTTTGTTTGTTCCTTTAAGCTCATTTGAGAAAGACAAAATCTACACTGAAGTCCTTGTTTGATGAGCTCACAAGCTTTTCTCTGGTAATTTCTTGTAACTGTCCAGTATAGATTTTTAACATACTTAAAACTCCTATTAGTCAAAGGTCAATTGTGGGCTTCACTATAACATTTTATAAAATGTATTCCTTCCTCCCATACCTCTTCAAGATATATTTCTTCAAAGAATTCATAAGACCCAACAAGTAGAGATTCACAGTGATAATAAATGCTATGTCTAAAATGACTTAACCAAACCAATTCCAGAGTGCCACCAGCAAAGATCACGCAGAAGGAAACATGGGACTTTCAATGTTCTCTTCTGGAGGAACAGATAGGTCCTCAAAGCATGAGAGTTCAAACAGGGGCCATTTAGCAGGTAGATTATCCAGAGGCCACCGCGTCCGGCCAAGAAAACCTATTTTTAAAAGTCTCTCAGGTATTTTCCAAGGTTTCTGAATTATCTGTGGGAAGCTCTGACTTACTTGTATAGAGTTTAACATATGTGTCCACCATTAAATCCAGGTCGTGTTTTATATCAAAATTTATGTTAAGCAAAGCCAAGTTACTTGATCTTTAGCCTGTCAAAGTGTTCCCCAAATAGGCTTTAAGACGCTTTCATTCATTTTCATACCTATTTTTCCTCCTGTGTTTCCATTTGATTCTCCAAAAACGAAGCTCCGCTGAGAACGTGTCAGGATTGGGTAAGTCACTTCTATACATGTCAGCATGGTGTTCCTCCGACGTATTGAATTTGAGTTGTCACATGACTGAGGGTACCAGAAATAAGCATTCAAGAGCTTTAAGGTGCTGTTCTGAGAATATATCTTTAAGTTCCTGAATAATGTGCTCCACTGTTGGGACACTTAGGGTTTCTTTATAGTAACTCTCAGAGGTTAGCTGAGATTCCAAGTTACCCTGGTGAGCTCTGCGGAATTTCCCAGGGAGTTTCATTTGAATATCAAGTTTGGTTGCCAAATTTGTGGCTTCCTCAAACCAAAATTCATGATAAACTTCAATATTTTCCATCACTTGTTGAGTGAATGCAATACTGCAGTCAAGCCACCGGCTGCAAAGAAGACATCAAAAGTTTGCCCCTGGAGGTTTTTCCCAAAGGCTCTTGTAAAAAATAGGACATTTTTAGGAACAACAATAGTAACAATGAAATCAAAATCTGTTACTGCACTGCAGAGTACAAATGCTCGGCCAGCTATACAGTTATTCCATCTAATATTTGTGTCACTATTTATACCATCTAAACCTAAAACAAGTGCTTGCAGGAGTTCCACTAAAATTTCAAAAACATCATGCCTGCCTGTCCACTGATAATGGCAGATTTCCTTCAGTTCTTTGCCCCTTTCTTTACTGTTCTGGAAAAAAAGAAAAAAACAAAAACAAAAACAAAAAAAAACAAAAAAAAAAAAACAGAAATTACACTGTCAAGTTCTAAAAGTAATTGTGGTGATCGATGAAAAAAACACACTTCCTCAATTGTTCCTAATGCAACGGATACTCCCATAACAGGTACTGATTTTGCCAACCACATATTTGGCACAGGAAGCGCAGATTGTGTAGATAGCTTGGGGATATTTCTCTAATAGTCTGGAAGCAACACTTTTCATTTTGGAAGAAAATCCACTAGACACAATGTAAGCCTGGTTACGACAATACTTCATATTTAATCCCCACTTCTCAGTTATCATAGTGTGAAATTTCACAGCCAAAATTTCTGCTTCAGCTTCATAAGGCAGGAAGCCTACAAATTCCTCTCTTAGGTTATGAGATTCATCAACAAACCTCACCAACACAGGTAGGTGCTCTTACCCTGCTATGTCCACTACGTCGTCAACGATCATGGAAAAGAAGTGTGAATCTCTCACTTCTCTGAGAGTTTCTTCTCGAATACAGCTCTCACAGATCTCTGGAACTGCCTCTGCTGTGTTTTGGAACAAAACAACGTTTTAACTGCTGTTGTCTCAAACTGCTTTCTCAGAACCTCTTCACCAGAATTTATCCGGCACTCCAGCAGCGCTTGAAAGTTATCTGGAGTAAAGAGACCTTCTGGGATTTCATCAACTTCATGTCCATTCAGAAGTATGTTTTGTTTTCCCATCAGAATCAACATTTCAAATAGAGATTTTAGG